AACAGCTGGCAGTAAGTAGAATTAAACACAAAGTTTATACCTGTGTTTAAAAGGCAACTGATCCATACTCTGTTTCAAACTTTTGTCTATAAAAATCAAGCTCAAAAAGCATCTAAAATAGAACTGAAATATCTACAAACCACATTTGAGCATTTTGACTGGTTAGCAGAGAAGGAAAAAATTAAAAACAATCTCTAAAGTAAAGATTCCCTGGGAAAAAAGAAAAAGGTCTTCCTCTAGTTGGAAACACTTTCATTTTCCATTGAAAATTCTGCAACAGGCAACTTCATGCTCCCTCCAACATGCCTCATATATGCTGTTTCTATTTGATTCCCTTCCTTATTTTTATGCCTCTCCATTTGCATTTGACAGTAATACTTCAGGAGTGTTCAAAAGTCATACACTGCACTTTGGCCACACAGTCTCACTTCTGGCAGTGTTAAAGAAGCGTTTGTTAAGACAACACAGACAAAGGTCTACAGATCTCCCAGGCACCCAGGCTCTGCTGCACATCAGCTTTTACCAGTGGAATGGGCCACTCTCCACAGCCAGCAGAGCCATTTCTTCAACTGTAATAAATGTCTTGCAGCAGAGGGGGTAAACACCACACCCTCTGCCCTTGCATCAACAGGATCAAGCATGTCAGGGAACAACCATTTCCCAAGAATTCATATAACAACACACGAGCGTTCCCATTATCTTACTTCACCCACAAGATATCCTGAACTCTCAAGAGTATTGGAAGTATGTCCTTCCAAAGTAGTAAATTCTAAAACCTCAGAATGAGTTAGACTGCAGGATTGGATTGGCATATTTTTTTTAAAATACTGATCTAAATAAAACATTTATATAAAGACAATGTTTCAGTACTAACCTGGAAATGTAATTTTTGCATTTGATCTCTGTTGTAGCAACAGTTTATTTTCCGTATTAAATAAGAAAACACTGAAAGCTCGGTGCAGTAAACCTAAAAATAAAACAAACAAACAACAAAACAAAATTTAGTAGAAGAGAAAAAACACATGAAGGCAGTTAAGGGCTTATATGGTCTCATTTTTACATAATGCAATTTAAAAGTCACTATATGTTAATTTGATTTAAGGGATTTGATAAATAACTCAAGAGCTATTATTCAGGTTTATATGCCAGTTTATGCAAGACATGAAATTAGAAGAGTTCCTAGAAGAAAAAAGCAATAGAGGAGCTCTTCTAAAGTCAGTCAGTTCACCATTCTGAATGTGCACATTTGGGCAAGCTTCCAAGGACAGCTTGACACCCATAAATTTACAATCAAAATTCCTAAAAACTTAATGGAATTTCAAGACCCTTCAAGAATTGCAAGAGTAGAAGGAAAATAGGCTCCATTAAAAACAGTATAATTGCTGTTTTCTTCACGTTTTGAGTCTGTTATTCCTCGCTCTTCAGGAAGATGCTTTCCTCAAGTACAAAAAAGAGATCACACACTACCAGGAGAGACTGTTCAATCTGACCAGCCTCAAGTAAACCCAAAATTAGTTAAACCCTTTCTTATTAGCAGTGTTTGAAATAGAACTCTGGACGAACTACTTTAAAATGAAATCATTTTCTACTTGAAAAGAACTCAGCAAAGAAGCAAACAGCATTCTTTAGAAAAATATACATAGAATCAGGTATCCATAATAGGAAAAAATACTCCTTTATCCTCAAAAAGTGATTAAAAATATTTATCAAGCTTGTATGTGCAATTACACATTCCTCTCCTTTGCAATTGCCTTCAATTGAGTACTCCTCCATTCTGCAGAATTTTAACATTAAATATTTTATGCTGAAGAGGGCATATGGGGAGGTACTTGCTCTGGTTTGATCCAACACTCACCTGAGATTAAGGTTTAAATAATAATTTTTTTTTTTCATAATTTAATCATGACTACGCTTCTGAAAATATTTAATCAACTTAATGGTTCAATTAGAAGATAAGCAAGCCGTACCTTTGTCAATGTTTTCATTCAGGTGACAGTTTTTCTTGGTCTCTGCTCCAATCTTATTGTCATTTTCATCAATAAGGATGCACATCTCTGCCAAGAGCTGCACCTGCTCTTCATCCAGGTGATCTGTGTTTACTTCAGGCATTGTGATGGTAGCACACGTTCTACTGAAGACAGAAAATGAAGAGTCATTCACTAAAAACAACATCCATAAGGTTCTGGGCAGAGTGTGAGAAATAACCTAACGGCTTGTTTCTCTGATATGGTCTAAACTGCACACAAATTTTATTTTGAGATGGTTTACATACTTTTAATTTCCTGAAATTTCTTATCCACGGTACAAATCATATAGCAACACTTGGCAGGTGCTTGAAACATTTTTATTTCTCAGGAAGCCCTTGCAGCAGCTGCTGCAGGACACCCATGTTGAGCCTAACATTTTTATGGGCTGCCAGTGGCAGGAACTCCAGTTCCGAACTAAAGCTGTGCACCACTAACTACATTTATAACCCTGGACATGCCGTGCAAGAGGATTTCTCCTCCCCACACGTCTTTAAAGGTTCGGTAACAGGATTTCAACCCGAGGCACCTCCAAAGCAACACCTGCTCTGCCCCGAGCCTCTGCTGCTGTGGGCGTGCTCCCGGCAGCCCAAAGAATCCCGGGCTGGGCCAGCTTGGAAGGGACCACACGGGACCTGGTGACCCTCCCTGCTCTGTCTGGGTCAGCCCAGAGCACAGGGCTGCCCTCAGAGAGTTCTGGAGTATCCCCGGGAGGGAGGCTCCGCACCGTCTCCGGGCAGCCCGTTCCAGAGCACGGTCACCTGCACAGTAAAGGCTCCTTGCCCACGCTCCGGTGCAAGCTCCTGTGCATCAGTTTCTGCCAGCTGCCTCTTGTCTCACTGCTCAGCAACGAGAATCATCCCCTTGGCACCGCCCAAAAGATATTTATAGATATTAATGATGTCTCCTCTCAGCTGTCTCTCCTAGAGGCTGAACAGACCCAGCTTCCTCAGCCTTTACTTCTAACAGATGTGCCTTCATGACCTTCGTCACCTTCCCACAGACCCGCTCCGGGAGCCCCACGTCTCTGCTACAGAGGAGTCCAGAGCGGGACACAGAGCTCCGGCTGCGGCTCGGCAGGGTCCCCGTTCCCCGCTCACCTCGCTGTCCGTGCGCTCGGCTGCCGCCGCTCTCCCCTCAGGCCGGGACCGCTCCGAGGGGCCGCGCTCCCGGCCCGGAGCAGCGCGCGCC